TAAAGAAGCACTTTCTCTCCTCTCAGAAATTCCAGGACAAAGACTGCCTTTCTTTGCAGATAAGCTCTAAGCTCTCTTTTCCTTTTTTTTGTGCCCATTTATCAAACACGTATGCACAAACTGCAGGCAATAAATATTTAATGTGGACTGGGTCTGAATAGATGTGTTATTTTATTTGAAAATCTACACACACACAAACACACACACATACACAAAGGGGCTGGAGATGCGGCAGTGCCAAAGAGCGACTGGAAATAAACACAGTAAAGGCCGTAAATGCTCTCGTGAAATGATATAAGCTAAATCCAGGGAGTTAACCCAGTGCACTGGCAGCATGACCAGGCATTCATCTACCCAATTTCCTCAGGCAGTGCGGTGTGTAAATGTAGCGTTATGAATCCTCAAAATGAATCTGCACGTCTCCTCCTTGTAGCTTTCCCCACTCCTCCTTCCTCCCCCACCATCCCCTTTGAGATGGCTCTAAAGGAAACAAACAAACAAAATCAAAATAAAAGGAAAGAGAAAACAGCCTTGACAAGCAGGCGTCCTCTAGTCTATGAGCAGCAAGAAGGTTGCTTTGTTTTCTGCAGTGGAACAGTTACCATACAAGGGGAATACAGGCATGGAAACTGATGCTACTCCATGTTCTTTATTCCTGGCATAGGAGGGTTGACAGGCCAGAAGATCAAGGCCCCATTGTGTTGGAAGTACACAGCGAGAGACAGCCCCGGCTCCAAGGAAAGTAAAGTCTCTAAATGCACAAGACTGACTGAAGGGTGGGAGTGGACATGACAGCATGGACTGGGGAAGTATCTTATTTAAGGTTACCCTACAGGTCAGAGGGCGAGAGCAAGCAGCACCTTCGCCATGCCATGCCATGTTGCTAGGTTGGGAACACTGGCTCCTTTGTGGTATGGCCCAGCAGGGAGTGAAGGAAGAAGATCCCTTGGCGGACAACATGCAGAATGATAAAATGCCTTGCGCTCATAAAATTGCCATAGTAAATCTCACAGGCTTCATGGACAAGTGACAACAATCACCCCCATTTTACAGAAGGGGAAACCTTGGCACCAAAAACATAAGTTACTTGTCCCTGGGGTCATGTAAGTCTATGATGGAAATGGGAAAGGGATCCTATGTTCCCCCCTTCCAGTCCTGTGACTTCCTTGCTGGCTAGGGGTAGTGCAAGCAAGTGGGTGGTGATGGAAATGTACCTAAAGGCACTAACACTAAAAGAATGGCTGCACCTATGAGATATCACTACCTCTAGCACTCTTGTAATTATAATTAACAAATAAGCACATTAAAATCATCATTGCTATGAACTCCCAATGGGTTTCTACTTTTTGTTTAGTGAGATTTCATGTGAAAAAAAAATTACCCAAAATGCATGAAAAATACTTAAACACAGAGGAAGCGGGCATCAGCATGACTTGGGCAAAGTATGGACATCAATATGACCAGAGGCTCTGTCATCCCATTTTTAAAAATTTTGTTTCCAAAGCCAAATCAGTTCCAAATTGAGTTTCAAATTTCAACTGAGCAGAGCTCAATTGTTCAAGTCTGTGTGGTGCTACCACTGGCAAGTATCCTACCTCCCAGACTCTTTAGTCTGGGGCTTCAAATACTGTACTCCCAAATCCATGGGAGGCATCCTACATGCAAGTCAGAAAAGCTTGGAAGCCTTGGAGTTCAGATGCCCCCTAGTGCGAGAACAACACCCATCACATAGGAGCCCTTAGATTCTGGGTCTCCCGAGCTTCCTTATATCTATAGACAGAGCGAGTGGGAGGGGAAAAAGGCCAAATGCACCACTCTTCACCTACACAATCGAGAGATATCTACTGAGCAGTCAATAAGAGTGGTATGGACAGGCTTGGAAGGAAATTCCACACAGGCTTATGGGGAGGGTGGGGGGATACAAAAGACTCCTGTTGGGGCACAGATGACCCTTTCAGAGACAGGGAGAAAAAACACCCCCGCTGTGTTGATAATTAGAAACCATAACATAGCAATTACCATACAAGCAACTGTGAATGAAGTGGAGAGACAGCGTCTTTAATGTTCTCCCTGCCACCATTAAGAAGAAACTCACACCTCTCTTTTCCAATTATTTCCTTCATTTGGAGGGCGAGAGTGGGGAGGAGAACAGCACTCTGTTACTCTTTCCAGAGCAGGATCTCCCTTATTTAAGGAAGGCAGTTTATGCTTTGAACAGAAGGGGTTCTCACATTTTGAGAGATGTACTGTGTACATGCATATACAGAGGGGAAAAGAAGGTGAATGTACTTTACAGTTGCTCTGATCTGTTCTAGTCAACCCCCCACCCCTTCCCTCTGTGGCAACTCTGATGTATGCAAATCAACTTGCAGGCAGACATAACTGTGAAAATGCAGTGTCTGCCCCACAAGCAGGGGTTTCCTCTTGGATACTGTTGTGTCTCTGTGGCAAATTGGACTTGTATCAGAAAGAGCTGGCGAGGAATCTAGCTGTCTGACCTACTAACGCAAAGCAATGCATCATGACACATACACTCCTCCTCCCTCTCCATGTATGAAAGAAAAGCCATTCAGAAGCAGCATGAGAAAGTAAATCAAAATTTGGCAATTGACCTTTTCTACATAGGAGACCAAGACCAGAGGTCAAACTCTATGAAACTAGTGACCAAGCTGCAAAGTTGGCAAAGGAATCTGCATTCCTACATTTCTAGTGTGCTGCTGACCTAGCAAAGGAGCAGAATAAAAATGAAGAGTGGCTCTGTGATGTTAAAATTCAGTGCACCACGGCAGGAGCATCCTTGTTCGTCAATACCCCAACACATGTCTTTCTCTTCTTCTCATTCTGAGTAGGTTCCTTTCTGCCGTGTATAAGTGCCAGAGGTCATACCAGGCCTCAGAGTGCAATAAGACCAAGAGACCATGGATGCACAGTCTCACTTCTTGAAGTTACATCTGCACTGTAAAGTTAACCCAAGCAAGCTAGCTTAGGGTGGGCCAGCCTGGTGCAACATGCTAACTGTCGCAGATGCATGAAACTGCCTACAATGATGCTGTACCAGTCCCTGTGCTGGGCTGGATTTCTGTGGGAACATCCCATGGTTCTTCGCACTGCATTAAACTGGGCTGCTTTATGAATTCATATGCAGGGTGTTCTCTTTCTCGTTCACCTAGCGCAGAGTTGTTGTCTGTGACAATGGCACGAAAACAATACTTTATGTAAATAACATCCAACCGGAGATGCTCATTATTAATGCAGGCAGTTCTGAAGGCAAAAGCAAACAGCATTTGGCAGCGAGAACTTTGTTATTAAGGAATTCACTCTGCAAGCCACAAAGTGATTTGTAGTGCACTCAACTGACTTCTCTGTCTCTCTGCTGCTTTCTCACTATGGGTTTAATGCACCTTTGAGCCCTTGTCACTAGGTGTTACGGGTGCAGGTAATAGCTTGCTTGCCCTTAGCAAAACAGTTACTCCAGGATAGACACAGACAGACAGCATCTAAACTGGGGTTGCAACACTACTTGAGTTTAACTCTCAGGTCTTTCAAAGGCAAATTCTGCATCAGACTGGGTAAAGTTACCCTAGTTTAGAGGTTTGCATCATCTGTTCACTACTTTTTTTCATGTTTGTGTAAATGTGCAGTCTGTTCAGGACAAAGGAATATAAAAAGCACACTGAGCTACAGGAGTGATTCATCAATATGAATGCAGGAAAAGAAGGTTGAATTCAATTGCTCTATAACCCGCACATCACAAAAGCTTGATGGAAATGCAAGAACCTTCCTAACCTCCCTAGAGAATTCACCAAGGCAAGCCAAAAGTCACAGATGGCAAACGAGCTAGTTGAACAGATTTCCTAAGCAATACCCCAACCATTGTGGCACTTCAGTGCTTGCACTGAAATGTACCCAGAAGCACATGGGTTTGCAGACTGTCTACGTGACTTTCCTGGAAGTCAATAACGTTCCAACCGCTTTGGCAACAATTTCAGTAGTTTTATGAAGTTCCTGTTAACCTGTTAGATAAATAGAAAGATTAGCATTTGGATGACGGAAGAGAAAAATCCAACTCTGCTACCCATTCATTGGCAGAAGGAACCACTGTCACTGGGAAAACATCCAGGCCAAGAGGCCAGTTGAAAAGGTCAGTCTGGTAAACAATGAAGAGCTCACTCAACTCTTCCTTACATTAGAAGAATTTAGGATGTTTGTTGCAAGTGCTCATGAAGCTTTAGCTTGGAAAATGAGGGAAAACACAAGTCAAGG